GGGGGTTGGGTTCGTCACCCGTGTTGTGGCAGCATATGCCTTCCCAAATGACCACCCCTGAGAACCTTGACTGACAAGGAGCAATTTGTTGGAATCCCACATTAAAAGTAGAGAGGGAGTTGTATGGAAATAAGGAAACGACTGCTGAGTTAAACCAAGTGTTACAGGATAATGTTCCAGTTGAAGTGGTAGTGAAGCAACCATTTATACTGGCAAATAAAAGTTTTGTTGTTGCACCAGATGTCTCTCTGCCTTTGAATCTGGGACTATAGAATTCTCCAGGTATTAAAGATGAAGCGACTCACACCCTTCCTCTGGGAATTGAAGTCCATCAACAGCTGGGCATCCAAGCTTGGGAGTCACTGCTCTAAGGTCTTGCAATGAGGAGGAAAGCGTCTCCATGTCTAGCATCTGTTTTGTTTTGGCTTCTGATGCAATTGTAAAGAAGCAAAATTACTTGAGGTGCTTACTACCCAAGCAGATTTTAGCATCTCTCCCCCACACCTTAAACAACCAGCTGCCATATTGCTGAAATATCAGATCAGGTCCTATTACCAGATTCAAGCTCTTCGCTATACTTCTGAAGCAATCTGGCCAAGCTGTATATTACCCACTGCCAGAGGGCCCTTGAATCAGGCAGCAATGTATTTGGCCTCTGAGAGGAAGGAAAGGAAGGAGTGCTATTTCAACAATTTAATTACATACTTTAAAAAATGCCATTCTTTCAATAGTCACACTAGATCCCTGCGCCCAGGGATGGTGATAGGAAGGATACTGGAACATATTTTTTAAGGCTATGGGCTCTACCAGACCATTCCATGTATCTTTTCACCCCAGGTTCTAAATCTATCACTACTATATTAACATCATTTCCTTTCCTTGTATTATATTCACCATATTCACCACTATTAATTCACTGATTTTACCATCAACATTTTTAGCAAAGAAATCCAGGAGTGAAAAACATTTCAGCCTGATCTTAAGCCTGTTTACTCATGTTTACTTACTTCATAAACAAATCCTATTAAATTTAACTGGACATACAGTGCTGTCCTAAGCATGCATGGTTAGGAATGAGGTCCTCTGCTTCCAGTGAGACTTACTGCCAGGTGGGAGTACCTTTGAGACTGCGGTCTTACAGCTATAGTAATCCCGCAATACTTATGCACACATAGGTTTTAATTTTGAAAAGTGGTCCATGTAAACCATAATCTCAGGTATCTGGAAGTTATGCCATGAACGGAATGTTTGTTTTTAAACAAAAATGCTTGAGAGCCAAAAGTTTGTATCTGCTCAATATGGAGCAAGAAGGGGAGAAAAAGAAAGCTGTGTGAGGTATTGTTATTAAAAGACATTCTATTCCTTTAAATCCTCTAGTGCATCTCTCCCACCCTCAATTCCAACCATTACTATCTCCATATATTATACTTGTCATAACTCCCTGCTACAGTGAGTCAGTGTGCTGAAAATATACTTCATGGCTTCTATTTGAATGCAGGACTCCAAACGCTAAGCAGAAGACAAGGGAGTTTGCCCTCTGTCCCAGTGTAAACCACAAAGAGAGAGGAAGTAGGGACTTAAACATTGCATGGAACACTATAAGGGAGAAGAAAAAAAAGGTGGTCTTGACATCTGATGGAACAGATAAATCTCTCTCTGTGAACAAAAGCTAACATTCTATCTTCCAAAGTTTCCCAGTCTGGAAAGAGCGGAGAGAGGTGAAGAAGTGTGGCATTCCTTGCTTTGTGAAACCTCTTTCAAAGCAGTTTCCAGTGGGAATATCAGGCACATGGAACCCCTAACTTCAAAATCCTATATTTACAAGGGCAGTTTAATTTTAACACAAGACCTACAGTACTCTCTTTCAAGTGAATCTCTGGCCTCAATAGCAGGACTTTCAAAAATTGCAGAATAACTCTAGTCATTAAAGGTTGTTTTTTAAAAAAAAGAATGGTGAATTGCAGCAAAGAGGCCAGTGCAACCTTGTTTTTTTGTAAAGCCACTAGTGAACTGGATGTATTAAAAGAGACTGACAACCTGCCCCAACCCCAGCCTCACCTCCCAGACTCCAGCCCTTCAGGAGAGGAGGAAGACACCATAACCAGAAATAACCTGAGAAACTACACCAAACCCACCCATATTCAAACCAAAGTTGACACTGCAAGGAAGCCAATTTTTAATCACACCCTTCTGGCTTTTTAAAAAAAGTATGGGATGTGTCTCACACAGTTTTTATAGAGACCGCCGGGTAATTTTGTTGCTCATGTAACCTCTTTCTAACAGTAACAACACTTTACTGTTCTGCACTCAGCCACCCTCATCCTCTTCTCTGTGTCCTCTCCTCTCCCCCCATCCCCAAACAGGCTATCTTGCCATTTAAGCAGCTGAAGCATAATCATTCTTTCAAGCACACCAGCCCCTGTTTTTTGGTTATTTCTTTCAACAGCCCTACAGAGAGTGGCCCGAATAAGCCCATTACGGAGACAGCAATGTTTTGCTAATTTAAAAGGTATAGAAGGATGAAAAACTTGTTCTGAAGGAAATGGGTCCTGATTTTTCAAAAAGTGTTTAAAACCAATTCTAATGCATCACGATGGCACCCCCTTAGAAGAGGGATTATTCTCCTGACCAAAGTGGGATGTCATGTTTTAAGCAATGTTTAGTGCAAGATGGGGAAGGGGGGGCAGCACTAAAATATAGATGTTTTTCTTTTTTCAGTAGTATTGTTTTATTAATGGACAAATCAATAAAATAGTTTGGCATTTTTAAAAACTAAGGGGTTTCTTTTAGAAAACCAGTGGATATCACAATTATGATTATTTCTGAAACCTTCAGTGTGAAGGGCACTGTATAATAGGCTAGGAGATCACCCTTTAGGCAAGGAGCTTAGTACTGTATTTAAAAATAAGTGACAGGAAACGAAGCAGGATTGGACCACTATCACCTGAGAGTGAAACAGAAAACCCACAGTCTGAGGTGACATGAGATATTTTTGCTGTCTGGGCCCCAGAAAAAGTCACAGCCCCCTCCCATTCTACATATAGCCTACTGGGTAACTGAATTTTTCCTCCACCCTGGGGATGACGCAGTCTTCCCCCGACCACACCCGCGAAGGTAGGAAGCTAGTTCGCGGGATGTATAAAGGAGGGCTCTCTCCACCCAAAACCATGGTGCCGCTTTCCCCCATCTGTTGCCTGAGGTGACCCCTCACTTTGACTCATGCTGAGGCTATTGCCAGCAAACAGG